CCTTCCTTCCTTCCTTCCTTCCTTCCTTCTTTTGAAGTAAAATGTAAATTGAACCTGCTCTAAGTTGTTTGAAGGTCATTCACTTGTTGTGTTCTGGGATAAAGTTGGTATTTTCTTAAATCCTTTTTCTGTTTCTTAGAACACTCTTCCAAGAAATGGTGAGATTTGCATGGCTGCTTTGTTTTGGTTGCCTCTTGGGTCTAAACCAGGGGCCACATCAAAGCAGGCTTTGGATCAGGTCCTAGTCCCGGGACTGCAGCCTGCTCTCTCTGGGAAGGGTCAGAATCAAGGTGAAATGCAGCGTGTTGGATTGGTCTTTCCAGTGCTTTGCGTTGGGTTGGTTGGTTGGTTGGTTGGTTTTTTTCCTGTGATCTTGCACATTCCTAGATAATGGCAAAGCTGATTGTACAAAGTCTGTACTCAGTTCTCCAAAGCAGAATAATGCCCATTGCCATGAACTTCACATAACTTGAAGATTATCATAACTGAAATGATCAGAATATTTCTTTTTAAAATGTAAATTTAATATTTTAATAAAGCAGCTGCTTGGTCTTTAAAGAACACTTCAGTATAACTTGTCTATTTGGGCTTTTTTAGCATAGAAGCTGGAAGTTTCAACTGTCAGAGGCAACTTTTATGACAAACTCGATCAAATCTATTTTTCTTTTGCGGAATATATTACTTTCCTATTTAAAGTGTATAAGTACTTATATTCTGGCTTTGTGAATCGTAAAAACAGATGTAAAACCCATTAAAATGAGACTGCATTGACCTTCTGAGACGTTATTGTTGCCGCATGCGGAGCGCTGCGGGGCCAGGCCCTGCTGTGACGTCCCCACCGCCCCACGGGCCCCACGGACGACGGGTTGTAGCGGGGCGGAGGAGCCACCCCTGGGGTTGTCCAGCTGAGACAGATGAAAATGGGTGAGGAGTTACCGCTTTGGTTTAGTTTTCCTCTTAGCAAAAAGATGAAACACAGGTAAAGTTACGGGAAATAATGGTGCTTGGGACAACAACACTTCCTTTCCTTTAGCAGAAATGCTCATTAATCCGAAATTGGAAATAGCAGCATTGACTAGAATGGGGAGCTGTGCTGGAAGTAGTTCCTGGCTACCATGTATTAAACCATTATTGCTGAAAACATCTTGGAGGATCCTTTTTCTGGGTAGTAAACCCTCTGTGCTGCGTGAGATCACAAAATACACTATAGTTACACAGTAATTGAATAAGGGCAATGTTAGGAGAAAGGGCTCTGAGGAAACGGAACCCTCTGTGCAAACATGAAAAAATGGCACCCCTTGAGCAGCAATTATGTCTTAGGAAATAGCTCTAAAATCCTTACCTGACTGATGTTAGTGCTGTGGGAACGTTTTGCACAGGAAAATGTCATTCTGTAATTCAGAGGTGTAAATTACATTCTAGGCTTAGGCAGGGCAAAGCTGCGCAGGGAGGAGGCCAAGGACGTTGTTCACCACAGCGGCGAGCGCCGGTGGATGATCCCCAGCACCAAGTGGTCCCTCCCAATGGCAGGGGTGTTCCCACTGACTTTGAGTAACCAGTTCCCCCAGAGTTAAGACTTTTGATATCCCAGATACAGAAGTAGGTACAAACACCCAAGCCCTTTTCTGAGGCAGGTGGAATTTTTCTGAGGGGGGAAACTTAAAAATTACAAGGAATTTGATACCTCGGAAGGTCGGTGTCGCTGCTGGGATCGCCCTCGTCCCAGGCCGCTTCACAACAGGCTCAAGGAGATTCAGCCGATGACGGGGCGCTGGCCGGACCGACGGTGCCCAGCGGGGCAGCAGGGGTGACGCGAGGACTGGCCACCTGGAGCCACCTGCTGACACAGTGTGGGCCAACTGCTGCTTCAGGGAGACGCCCATGCATAATAACGTGGATGAAATTTGGTCCTTTATGGCCTATCATGATTGAATCTACCACAGGTTTGTCACTTAGGTGTTTGTCAAATGCTTTTCCTCTTTTTTTTTCCTTTATTCTTTTGTTTTTTCTTTCAGTCTCCCCATATAGGAAAGGTCCACAGAAAGCACGTTGACTTGAACAGAGGTAATGGCACAGGGAGCAGCCACGTAGTGTCACAGACCAAACACAACCTCTTGCAGCCATGGGGAGCGTTACTGGCCCTTGCATTTCAAAGCAAGTCTGGTCCTTGCCCACAAGTCCATGATTTGTAGGTGGTGACTGCTGCGTGTCTCGTAACACTAGTTCTCTCGGCTGACGGCTGGAGTGTTTAGCGAGGCCTCAAATGAAAATAAATCCCAGGGTAGTGTGGGTGGAGGGTGCGGAAGGTTGTCTTCTGTGATGTGAGTTGTTAGAACAAGTACAGGTTTGTTCTTCTCAAAGCAGTAATGGAAACAAGGCTGATGACTGCATCTTTGGGGATAGTCCAGTGGCAGGACCGTAAATAGCAAGGAGCCAGGCTAGCTACGTGTTGAAGAAACTCCCTCTAAACTATAGTTTAAATTTTTGGTTCACAGCAGACTGTCCTGCAGAAAAGCTGGTGAGAAGTTCTGTGAGGCGGCACCTCCCTGCTGGTTACGTAGCTCCTGCTGGGCTCTGTGCAGGAGCACGAGCTGCCCAACGCGGAGCTCCCTGCCAGCCTCACGGAGCGCGGGGGAATCTGGCTGCGTGGAAGGAGGCCTGTGGGGAAAAGACCAGCCGGGCCTGGCTTCTCTAAACTCTGGATTATGGATGGAGCTGCCAAAGGCTCCTTGGAAGTGGCTGTGGGCCCTGGCTCCCTTTGCTGGTCCTGTTCCCTTTGCTCTGGTCGGCTTTTGCTGAAGATCCTCCACTTGCTGGCTGTGCTCCTGCTGCTGCTTGCAGACTTTTTCCCTCCCTTAGCAGGGAAAACCCATGGACAGCAGTTTATTACCGCTCCCTACTGCTCCCAAAGCGGCTCCGGCACTTAGTAGCTCTTGGAAAGCCCTGGGGCACGTTAGCGTGCTGTGGAGCGGGCTGCCCCGTTTCCCGTGCAGCGGGTGAGCAGGGAGGCGCGTGTGGCGGTGCCAGCCGCAGGCAGGGCCGGGCAGCAGCAATGGGGCCCGCGCTCCGGCTCGGAGCGGCACCACACACAGGACGTGCCAGTCCTCCAGTACAAGCACAGGAGGCCCTGACCCCGCGCGGGGCAGTGGCCACAGCTCCACGGGCTTTGGGCAATGCCGCTGCCCTCAGCTCCCTGTTCCCCTGCCGTGCGGCAGCGACAACAAGGGCACGGGGAGGAAAGGAGCGAGAGCAAGCTGCCCTTGAGGACCTTGACGTCCCTTATCTCTCTTCTCCTGCCTTCAGTGATCCTTTCACCTTGCATATGGGTTTTTTTTTTTTTTCCTTTCTTCTTATCAGGACCATTTACTGTTTTTTTTAATCACTAAAATTTAACTGATAGTCTAGAACACTCTTGCCCACTCATGGAAAGCTCAGGAACACGCAGATTTGCAGGAAAGCTGTGACTTATCAGCCACAGAAGCAGTTGTTCATCCTATTAGTAGCATTTGCTTTATTTGACTTAATTTAGCATTATTCAACAGAATCTTACTTTTCGGTTTCACGTAGCAAATCCGTGCCTCGGAAGCCCCCGGCCCGCACGTGGCCAGGCAGGGGCGCGGTCACGGTGAGGTGCCGCGCGGCGGGTGACGGGCCGCGCTGACGGTTGGGGGTGACGGTTGAAAGTGACGGTTGAGGGTGACGGTTGGGGGTGACGGTTGGGGAGGTGACGCCGGAGGCCCCGCCCACTCCCGTGGCTGAGGCGCGGGGGCCGGGGCGCGCGTGCGCAGTGCGGCGCGCGGGGCTCTCGCGAGAGGGGCGTGGCGGGGGCG